GAGCCTACTCAGTTAGGTCAAACTGATAGAACTAGTCCCTTTGGACACCAAAGACAACAACACCAGTCTGCCTTTACCAGTTCTTACAGTCTCTTCACTTGTGGATTTCTTATATTTTTCCTTCAACCCTGAAGTTGGAGGCGATACATTCCTCCAAAACGTCAGTTAACACCACATATACATGGTGCCAAATCCTCAAATCTTACACAATATAAACCACCTGTGGGAGCTAACGCAAACATTTTTAAATACCACACTCATGTGTTATCTGTCTCTTGTCTTCTGTTGTTTTAAAGGTTAAGAGACTCTGCCCTATCACAGATTTCATAGTATTTTCTTTTAGAATTCAGCTCTCTAGTTTTGGTTTCTATTTCAGTTTGACTCTGGCCATTAAATCATGCACGACCATGGGTGCAAGGGTTCATGTATGTGGCATTTTGAAATGTTCTTCTTAACGCCCACAGATGGTTTATGTTGTGTCTAATCTATATATCATGTCTAGTGTTAGTTCTAGAGTTCAGAGACAGGGACTAGCTATATTGATAGAGCCCAGTGAGTGGGCTTTGTACCCGAGGAGAAAAAGTCCAGTTTTGAAATGTTTTAAATAGAATGATGGATAACCTCCAGAACTTCAATAACTGTATTAATATGCCACCATCACAAACTTTTAAGATTTTATTTAAAGTAGTAATCACAAGTCACACAGAAACAATTAAGCTGTGAACTAAAATATTCTTGTGCAATCAGCCGTGCCAGTGTTGAACTGTAAAAACAAACATTTCATAGATCGTATGTAAGATTTGAGGTTTTCACGGCTGTGACTATGAAGCAAGCAGTCTTCTGGGATTTGGCACCGTGTATATGTTGTGTTAACCGACGTTTCAGTCTGCTTGTACCAGTTCTCACAGTCTTGTCGCCTGCGGATTTCTTATATTTTTCCTTCTACCCTGAAGATGGAGGCGATACATTCCTCCAAAACATCGGTTAACACAACATATACACGGTGCCAAATCCCAGAAGACTGCTTTCTTCATTTCATAGATCACTTCAGTCTCTGTCATCACAGTCATCAAAAACCCAGTTGACAAAGATCGAGGATATCTCTGAAACATTACGTTCTGGTTCAGTGGTGACAAAGCTGATTGCCTGAGATTCACTGCGAAGGCTTCAAATCTTAATTATGCCATGACATTGCTGAAGTAAGTGTCCAAAGTTGGAGAAAGTCCGCAGAAGAGCTGAAGCACAAGTATCACATGAAACACATAATGAGGTTGGACAAGCATGATACAAAAGCAAAAAACAAGGGACTCAAGTTTTTGTCCCTGCACACTGCAGATCCTCAGTGAAATGGAAAACCTGTAAAGTTTGATATTCATAATTTTTTTCCCTTGAAATTTTACACTGTTAAGGGAGGGTCATCTTATATTTGGATAAATACTGTAATTTGCAGTATGATTTTGTTTCTGTATCTTACGATACAGAGTTCCCTGGAGTGGTAGCTCAACTTCAGAATTTCGCAGCACTGCGGACTATCAGTACCAGCTGCTGTGCTGTAACGTAGACCTACCGAGGATTATCCAAGTTGGTCTGACTTTCCTGGACAAAAATGGCAAGACACCAGGTGGATCTACACTATATTGTTATACCATCATCATAAACTTTTAAATCTTACTAACAGATGAAAGAACTCACCATGCAGAACTCCAGAACTTCGCACACTGATGAACTTCCCTGCAGAAATGAAACCATATCTCACACTGCCCATGGTGATTAACTTCACTTATTATGTTATATGAGATATGACTAATTTTCCTGTAAAAATAAAATTATTCCTGTGGAAAATTAAATATTTAAATCAAATATTTATATATGATTTAGAACATTCAATTTTATAATACACAAACTACAATTACTGTAATCCAGGGTTATTTCAGAGTCATTTGTCATTATTTGCCACTTTATATACTGTCACGATTTAGGGGTTTGAGTAAAGATGGGGTGTGAGTTGGTGACTGGATTTATTGACCACTTATACAAACCAGGTGGATTTTTTCCATATACCTAATCCTTCCAGCCGCACTATGGTCCTGGGGGTCGACTCAGTCTCTAACAGAAATGAGTACCAGGAATATTCCTGGGTGTAAAGGACTGCCGGCACATAAGGCTGACAACCTCACTGCCATCTGTGAGCCCACTGCCTAGAAAATGTGGGAGCCTCGACACCTCACAACCCTATGGGCCTCCACGGCCTGTTACAGGGATACCTTTACTTTACTTACTTTTACTTATACAACCCACCCAGAACTACACGTAATTATGGCAGCACTGCTAATCTGCACAATTTATAAATCACCAAAGCACCCATTAAGCCTTTTCAAGCCTGCTGTGCTTGTGCACGCAATCCACTGCTTAGGAAATGCTAGCCTTACTCTTTACAGAACACCTTGTAGAAGTGTTTGGTTTCATCCACTGTTACACAACGAACTCTCTGTTTTCCTTTCAACTCCGGGGAAAAGCGTTTGTTGTTTGGGTTATTTCCATGCAACGGCCCACTGTTATTGCGTTTCCATGGAAGTACCCCTTCCGGATTCACGACATGTGACAATACGTATTATAGATGTTGCACTGTGGGAGCCTCCCACAGTGAAGCAAGCGCTACTCAAACAGCGCTCACCATGGCAGCTCCAACATCCATTGGTTAGCGCGCCGCCCTGAGATAAAATATAAAGATGAGCGCCTCCAACACTACAGTATCATCCCCGTGTGAAAGTGGAGTCGAATACCTCCACCGTGACCCTGCGAGTCATAGGAGGCGACGAAAAGGGAAGTCTCAAATCTGAGATAGTAAAATATGGTCGCCAGTCCCAAGGGACTCGGACCCAAGAAAGACTGCGCTAGCAGGGCCAGCAGCATATGCAAAAGATAGACCCGTCCTCTCGTCGGGGAGGGCACCCCACAAAAACAAGACTGTGACTGTCAAAGGGTAATAATTAATATCTGTCCATGAGCCCCATCTAGGAAAGAATGCCGTCACTAACTGATGCTAGCACTCTGCTTGCCTGATCATCTGTATTATTCATTCTAACAGCGATAAACATTTGTTATAGCTTTACCTGGTTGTCCCTCCACGCCACTGGATTCCACATCCCACAACATTATAAAACCACAAAATATCCTTTCTTGTGCAAACAACTTTCCAAATAAAAACAGATTTAAATGGAAACTATACTTCATAGTATAAACTATTTTTATTCTTGCATAATCAATTTTTCTTCAGAAAATTTATAAATATCATTCGAAATTAATGAAAAGTACTGCGCAAAGTACACAAATTGTACAATGAGATGCGCAAACATAATCCAAGATGTAGTATGTGAATCCACATTTAATACTTTGACACAGTTCATGGACTTAACGCTATGGTTGTGTATTGCCTGAGGATAACCTAAAAAGAAAGGTTGAAACATGTCGCAATAAGAACTGCACAAACGAATTTTGATATGAAAGTATCTATATTTTCTTATTGAGTATTATTGTTATTGTTGTGTTGACTGCCCCATTTGGAAAGTAAATATGTAAGTTTCCCAATGCACAGCATTCATCCACATTGTTACATGTCAGAGACTTGACATGGAGTTAGGGCTGATAATTGATTTACTGAATGCTTATAACTCATACCCACAAACAGTTACAACATTCTCAATAATCTACTCACATGCTACAAAACCACTACAACACAAACTAAATTCTGTTATGACTTCACTAGTTGTTCGTAAGTAAGAACAGTAGTGATTCCTCTACTTCCATGCTCATGGCTAACCACCAACTATAATTGCTAAGTTGCAAACTTTCGGTTTTGGTCCTGTTATGTAGTCTTGGCATGGACTGTATACAGAACACCCATTCCAAACAGTTTCTCTACTGTTGCATGTTTATTCATTGCCACAGAATGTGTTTATCACACGATTGCCTTGTGGCTGTCCCTTCTTGTTCCAATATTCTGGCTTCCAACCATCATGTCACAATAAGTACATACCATGAATGTATTAACGTACATTTCATTAACAATTCGCAATCCTCAGTCATTGTTCCCGTTATTCAAACGCCAAGGTCAGAATTTTTATACCAACAAATGTGACTATAAAGCACGTGCTGCCTTACACCACTTTCTCCATAACATTCAGGCTATTATCTCATTCTGTGTATAGAATTTGGATATGAGAATAGTGTAAATCAAATTAAATTCATTTATGCTACGCAAGTCAGTTCATATAAAATTTGGCACAAGACAGTGTTTACAGCCATACGAAGCCTACCTGTTATGTAAACACTGTCAACTGCCAAAGGCTATTTCCATACTACGCATATCGCATATATTATATTGAATCACATATTATCTCAATATCGCCAAAACGTAGATAGGCAGCTGATATGATAACACGCAACAGATTCTGGTGCTGTAGACGTGACGACTTCCTTTGAATGACGCATTATTACAAATATAAAATCGAGGCTCAATCATTATGGGTAAACAAAAAATCACTGTCAAGGTAAATATTAATATATAAATAAAGTCGGTAAAGACCTTGAATCTAGTTAAAGAACCTGACATAATTACATGACGTCACAAAAAAATAGAATTCAGCTACTTTTGAACACAAATTCTGTGTTTCAATACTGCTACTGTAATTTCTTATACTGTGTATTGAATAATTCATCACTAAATAAGCCACAATTTTATATTGCCTTGATAAAAGTTTATATAAAAAACAAAACCAAAAGACCTTACTCTTTATCATTTCACTAACTTCCCACTATTTGAACGACTTCTGCTAGAGGTCACCATCCAAAACCTTCCTTTCCGACATCTTGTTAACGACGAAGGGCAGCCAACTCTTAAAATATAAATGCTAGTTTCATATACTCTAGTGTCATTTACAGTAATTAATATTATTATACTTATAGTATACTTGTATTTGTGTTCGCGAGTTTCGATTTCGTTCGTCCATTTAGGTCTGGATGGGTGATAAAGAGTTCATTTTCATGTACTTGAAGCAAATAAAGTTAATGCACTGGGGCCTGGGTGCGAATTTCATAAAAATTGGCTGACATTTGTGGGATTCACAGAACATCTGTCGGCATTAAATTCCATCAAGACAATCAACACGATCAAGACCGATCGAAACCTTCTGTTTGTGATTATGAAACCAAGGTCACAGCAGTGGCACGTTCCGAAAGTAATTAATAGCATAGCATGTTTTGTGACGCAAACGGCAGTTACAGTGTATATCTTAGGCAGAACCGTGGCGCAATGAACCATGGTGTATTGCTACATTATGTCGGTCATCCTTGCTTAATAAATTATTGTTATGAGAAGGGAGTGGGGTTTGAGTACGATCTTTGAATTTCGAAATTTAGCCCATTTGTGGTGTTTCCATTCTAATTTCGAATTCGGAAGGACCTAAGATCACTCAGTTGGAGTTCTAGTGGTAGTGAACTGTTATACATATGCACGGTAGTGTGATTTATGTTAATTTAATTCGGTATATTACATTTCTGTTATTACAATGGACCTGTCTAAGCACCTACAATGATAATAAAGGCTTTTGTTTTGATTGATTCATTCATTCATTCTAAATTGGGTATTTCTTTCCAGAACTCCATGAACACTCTCATGTGCACTACATGCCCTGCTTATCTCATCCCTCTTTAGCTGATCACTCTATACAAAACTACATGCAATATTATTGTTTATTACATGGAATAATACCATTTAAACGACCATATTTCTGTGATTGTCAAAAAGCATTTATTGATTCCATGTCCAAGATGTTTACTATGCTGTGTCCACTTCAGGCTTATTCTGAGAACATGCTTAAATTCTGAAGAAACAACTACATTGATTATGACTGTTTTCTGGGAAGTGATGCCATATAATCTGGCCAAATGGTATTGACATTTCTGAAGAACCTGTTTTCTTCATCTACAGGACCCTGATTGAGGATAGCACATTCCAAAATGTTGCTGCCTTTCTGCTAGATTACACATCACATCCCGAAAGACAACAGTCTTCATATTATGCATTGGTGCAATTTTCAAAGTTCCCTATAGAAGTTCTTGTTAAGTTTTAGAGGTTTCAAAAGTTCCATTTGATTGCTATGAAGAGTAAACAAGTACTAGTTTATATATTTAACCAGCTGCAGTGGTTGCAAAATCTTGTTGATAGAAAACATATTTTAAAAACTAATGTACATGCATACCACAACCCTACATTAAAATTCATGATATAGCATTTCATTACATAATTAAATTTAGGAGCTTATGATGTTCATTGGAGTGCCAAGATGATGCAGATTTTAAATGCCAGTTTCCAGTGTAAAGGGTCTGGTTTGCCTACAACCAATTAAGATATTTCTACAAACATTTTAAATCCATTTTGTACAACAAAAAACGTAAACAGTAGGCTTCCACGTTGGTTCCCCTCACTGATGGTGTTCTTCATATTTATGTCACTGCTGTCCTGTTATGTGGACAAATGGAATTTTGTTCTACAGACGCACCAAACAAGAAAAGAAACCAATTAGTAGAAATTAATTGTCTGATCTTTTTCAGACACATCAGACCCCTCTCCCCCACCAAACAAAAGCTTCACTGGAGGTGCTAGATAGAACAAATGAAAATGTTACTAACAGTGAACTTTGACTGGTACCATAAAATAAGGTAAAACTGATTATAGGATCAATGACTGGTTGGATTTTCAGCAGTTTCTTCCTCCCGCCACACCCACATTAGCTCTGGGTCCATACCAGTCCATGCAGCCTTCTACTGAATGGGTATCATAAATCCTCTAAGTAGCTGACCAGTACTTCTATCTCATGCTGAGGTCCAGGTTGCTTGACGCTAACTTGCCTGCCTCCCCGTGACTTCATGTTGCGGCATTTAGGCACAAGGACATTACCTTTAATTTCCACAGTACAGTAAAAATGAGATATAAACCATTAAATAAAACAAAACAACTACCTTAGTTGGTTATTTTAACGTCGAAATCAAGACTACATACTGTCAATGAAAAAACAGTTAATGAATGAATGTGGAGCAACTAGTGGAATGAGAATTGCTTAGGTAAATCAAAGTACTCAAAGAAAACCGGCACCACTGCAACTTTGTCCAACATAAATGACACATGACCTGACCTGAGATCAAACACAGGTCACCATGGGAGGAAGCTGGTGATGAACTGCCTGAGGAAAAATACTGTAATAAAATAACCAGTCTTTTGGTCTTGTTCAATATTCAAAGGAACATGAAACAGGCTCTGACATAGTGTGTGTAGTGACAGAAAGAAGATTCACTACAAAAAATAAACAGACAATATGTGGTTTTAGATTTTGCTTATAGCAGATACTTATTTCTGCATATTGTTACCCCTTTCAAGTCTGATATTCATCTAAATATTGAAAATTTTAATTCCTAATATACATAAACACACTGAGCACCCATTGCACTGGTTAATTTTGTTTTGGGACAAAATAATTATTTATTCTGAAAATAATACAAAATACATAAATACACTCTGTGGACAAAATTCAGAACTTTTTTGATGCTAAAGCAGTTGTTACATACAGCTGTGAGCCAACTGTCTAGGAAATGTTGGATCCTCAACGTCTCATAACATAATGGGCCTGCACAGCTGGTTACAGGGATAGCTTAACTTTTTTACCTTTACATACATAGTAAACACTGCTTTCCAGGGTTCAGAATTACCTGCTACTGTATAAAGTAATGCTTACCGGTTCTTCAATTCTTGGATTGCTGTCAGTTCTTTTATTTCTCTTTAGTGAGGAAGAGAGAGATTTGTCTTGGGTGTGATAACTACATTCCACAGTACAGGATTCTGTGGCCATGACCGGAACATAATTATCATTATGATAAAAGGAATGTTCTAATGCAGTAACAGGAAGTTTGGTAAGGTAGATATAATTGATTTTCTTATAAATCACTGTTCTATTACTATAAATTATTACTCACTAATTCTAGTAAGCACCTTATGTACCACTTCAAGCAAAGATTACAAATAAGTGTACATCATATTGTTGCATAACCATGTAAACAGTAGAAAAACATATTATTATTTACATAAGTGCACCAATCGCATTTAAATGAGCTTTGGCTTCTTTTCAATAAATACAAAATATGCCTAGTGTAGTAGAACTCTGTAAGACTGAAGATAAAAATTCATGCCAACATCTAAAGATTATGATTCACTAATTTCAAAGCAAAGTCGTTTAAGAGTTTTCTAGTCAAGGTAACAGGGAGAATTGGTTAGAATTTCAACTTCTCCCTCTTATTACTAGTGACTGGGTGAATATGGGGTTTCTTCAAAATTTATTTTGAAAAGGAAGGTCCTGAAGGAACAACAATTTACATCAGAATATTTCCAAATCATCTATTAAAATATCTCTGTTACTTTTAAACTAAAAAAATATTACACTTATTTCTTACCAAGGTGTAACTTCATGTCACTACTGTGCTTTGGTTTGAAAACTTCTCTTCAAACTAGCATGTATCATACAGTGCAGCAATATCACACAAGCATTTGATTCAGATCTCAGGAAAGTGAATGCACTTACATCCAAAACTACAGCGATTGATTTTAAACCTACAAGACTTGCAGAGTTCTATTATGGCATTTGAGGAGCATCCTCTAGTACTGAGTAACAAATTATTTTTCAAAACAGTGAAAGTATCACAGTTGAAAAGTCATTGACACAGCTCCACCAGACATACACACTACTGTCAAATAGAGACAGAAAAAGAAATCAACACATTTACCAAAAACGGATATTTACTGTTGATAAAAGAACATACAATGACCAGTTCCTTACCTACCATAAGCAGACAATTTTGCTTCATCAACTGTTCTCATTTTCAAATTTATTCTGTTGGAGTGAGAGATATCTAAATTCAAATTTAATCCAAGTTACTTCCATGCAATTTTTTAATTTTTAAAAGGGAATAGAAAATTAGCTACAAAATTTACATCTTCAGCCACACATGTATATTACCTATTCAAGGCATAATTAAGAAATGTGCAACAACAGAAAGTAAAGCAATCATATTTTTATATCAAACTGTTTTAAATCAATGTAATCATACTTACATATTCTGTTAAACTACAATTCAATGTCAAGGAAAAGTACTGTCCTCAAAGCCAGGTACCTTTCAAGAAATTTTACAAAAAATGTTCATACAATCTTGAAAATATTTCTCGCCAAAGTTCAATCAGACATGAAATATACGCACAGTTAACAATTCTAGCTCATCCATTGTCCTCTGTTTAATTATTTTCAAATCACTGGATTTATGAATGTAAATAGAATTTTTACATAAAATGTGGCATTTTACTTTTACTTGAAAGCCTTTTTGTTCTGATAAATATTTTGTGTTACATTTGAGATGCCTACAGAAACACAAGTAGGCCTTCATGTAACGTGCGAATTACTTTTGTCCCACTTTAACAAAAAGTGGAATGTGTCCACAAATTTGAGTAAACTATTGATTTTGGCAAAAAATCATGTAGTGGTTCTCAAGTTGTTATATATAGGCGGCCAGGCATGGTGAAGCTAAGAGGCATATTTTTGCAACCTTCCATTGCAAACATGTCACTAGCATATCAGGCTGGTTAATCAAGGTTGCTAGAAATGTTCACACATCTATCATTAAAAATTGGATCAGATGGGTCAGAAAGCATACACCTGAAAGACCAACGAGAAGATAACATTAAGAAGTATGTTATAAGATAAGCTGTGAAAATGGAAGATGAACATGGCTCAGAATTAATGCTCAACGTGTATGAAATACTGGAATCATCTTCCAAACTGCTGCTGTCAAAACCTAAAAGACCATAGTAGCATATCTTTTCTTCTATTTCATGATATATTATTCTTATTACATGTCGGGGAAACAACACACGATTCTTTATAGAATTCAGAAAGTTCACATGTAGTAAGAACTGGTTTCTTTAAGTTCATTCACAGTATTCACCTGTATTTGAACACAACCACAAATAATAGTTATGTGCAATCATGAATTAGGGTGTAATATCTGTTTCAAACACAGCGAAATATTTTCATTGGTACATGCTTAACTCTTCTCTGTTCCATATATCACTTTTATCTTTTAAGCTACAATAAACTATAATAAGCTTAAATACAGATCCCATTATAATGGATTCAGTAGTCATATGGGAAAGTCTGTCACGTTATGCACATGGAGAAATGTTTTTATTAATACATTTCTTTAAAGCATACCTACAGATCTTGTCCATTCAAATTATTGTACATATTTACAATAATATACAGTATATGGTATCTGAAAAGCAACTGTTTACTGTTCTGAAGCTTCACAGTTATATTTGCCGCCCTGTGCTTAATGATGTATAAACTGATACACATTAAGAGTGCAAGATTAGTATATTTTAATACCTATAACATCTCATTCAAACTGTTCTTAACATTTGTGTAGGCTTCATGCAAAGTGAATATAGAAACTGTCAAAACATTCTTCATGCCAACAAATATTTCTGTTGCTTACTGCCTGAAGTGAAAATATCACGAGATTACACTACCATGACTGAAATCAGGAAGTGAGCACATTCATTTCAGATAGTTAAGAAATGGAACATTTGGTAAGGGTAGTGCCCTGAGCCGATCACATTGGCTTAGTGTGCTGGGAACATATGAGAAGTGCCAGTTCCTAACAATCATTTCTGCAACCATTCTGTGCAGAACTTACATCTGGCCTAGGGCCGTGCCATAGCTCAAGCGGTTAGTCGCTGGCTTCCCACCGCAGCGGCCCAGGTTTGATTCTGGGTATGGTCAAGTGGGATTTGTGGTGGACAAAGTGGCGCTGGGGCAGGTTTACTCCAAGTACTTCAGTTTCCCCTGCCAATCTTCATTCCATCAAATTCTTCATCATCATAATCACTTGGGGCAGGCTACAACAGGCCAATCAGTGGTTATCGTGCCAAGTGGACCCAGTGGACGCACACACATACAGATTCATTTTACAGTTATTCTGCAGGTTGAATGTACCTAAAAAACTTAAAATCCAACCACCCTAACAAGTGAATACCAGACCTTCCAGATATATAATACATTTCAAAATTATAAAATTATATCCAAGGGTCAATTTGACTGTTGAAGCCAAAGGACAATAGAGAGTTACTCTTCAGACACTGTATAACATCAACAGTAACAACAGGCACTCTCATATAAAGAAGATTACTCTTACAGATACTGACTAATCACAACAATATACAGTTACATTAATACACATCCTTCAAATCTGAGTTCACACTGGAGAATTAACCCATCTCAGTTAGTGTCAAGAATCTCTACAATCTTTTGCTTTAACCTTTTCTAGGGTATTGGTTAAGTACGTACAAGTACCATCTCATTTAACATTCAGTTACCGAACATATTGTCCAAAGAATGAATTTATGATTTTTATTTTATTCTAAAAATAAACAGATGATATCTCTAAACATATGAGTCTAAAGGTTTGTGAAAATGGTATGTTAACAATACATATGTTGGGCATTGTCCATTGCCTTGTTTTGAATACACAAACATAACATTTCAGAAACTGGTCCTGTCTCTGTCATGGGCTGGAATTTGAAACCTGCCCTGTTGGGCGCATCTTCAGAGATGGAGATTAGCTCCATCTAATGGGCCAACTGAGCAGGATTCTTTCACCGGATGATACAGATAGGGACAGTTTCCTAAATGTCATGTTTCTATAACCAAAACAAGATGATCAAGTTCAGTATATGTGTCAGTTTAATCTCTAACATATTTAACCATAAGAGCTTTATAATAACAAACCATGTATGTGGTATATTGTCTTCAAGGTAAGAACCAATTGTTTTCAAAACATGGCACTGCCCAGCAACGGCTCAACAGCTCCTCTATTTTGTATGTGTATTAATTGCCACAGAGAGGTGTTTACTGTGCCAATGCCTAGCAATGGCCGTCTCTTCTTGCTCCACTACTCTGATTTAACCTTTCATGTCACAATATTATTTTTCCTTCATATGGTTAGGAATCACAATTGTGGCTATCGTGGCTCCAACCCTTTCCTGTCTCATGCATAGAATATTCTGATATTTAACCACTGATATGCTACAGTAAAACCTTTTTAAAGCAGAGCCTGAATTAAACAGAAACCTGTCTTTATTAGAATAATTCTCTGGTCCAGAGAATAAAGTGTGAACACTTGTAACATCATCTATAATAATTCCAAGCAGCAGTGTTGTTCCTATCAAGCTACAGTCACTTAGTCAACAAATTACTACTTGGATAGTCGTTTTTTTCTACTCATGTAGTTTTTATTTCACACAAGGTGTATCGGAAAGTTCACGGACTAGGTCAAAAAACAGCTGTTGGTTTAACATACTCAATATTGGCTGCCATCTCCTTCAAAACAGTCTCCCTGGGAACGTATACAGCAATTGCATAGGTTTTTCCAAGCTTAAAAAGCACCATGGAAGGAATTTTCCTCTATGCTGTCCGGTACCTCTTGTGGTTCCCTTTGGATGTCAGATATTGTTTCAAAACATTGTCCCTTCTGTTTCATTTTCAATTTTGGGAAGCAAAGCTAAATTACAGGGGGCTAAGTCTGGCAAGTAGGGAGGATGGGGAACGATAACCATGTTGTTGTTAGTCACAGACTCAGTGGTTTATAGGGATGTGTGGATGGGCGTGTTGTCATGATGAAGGAGCAGTGTGGTGCATGTTCAGATTTTCTGATAAGATCTTCCGGAAAACTCCATAACCGGTCCCAAGTGTGTCTGCAAGCTCATGGATTGTGTGGCGACAGTCTTCATGGATGAGCTATCAAATTTTCAAATGACACGACAATGCACATGGGTGCATAGACGAGGGCATATCCCAAAACTTGAACTCATGGACAGAAGCAAAGCATTTCCATCAACAATTTTAGACACCTGAAAATGACCAATTTTTGTTGAAACATGTAGTGTTCATGCACCAGTGATATAGAGGAGATTTTAATGTTTAAAACTTTTAAAGGTTTTTAAAAAGCAAGTTGAACACGAGACGGCTAACTAACAGGAGTACAAACCGCTATAACTGGGTGGCAGGTAAGAGGAAAGACCCATGATTGTTTAAAATTAAATTCAATGAATAAAAATGTTATTCATATTTATAATATATTTGCCTCAAATTAATATGTCTTTATCTCTGATATACTCTGACACAGTGCTGTATCTTCAAGTCTGTCCAGGAATCTCAGAGATGTAGCAAACAGAAGCAATATGAATTTAATTTCAAGGAACCAAAATGTTATATATAAACATTATGTATACATATGATTCAGTGTCATACGTGACCTACATAGTAGCCTGAATTTTACAGATTAACAATATGTATACAGAAGATCAAACAACATCCTTGACCTATATAAATACTGTACTTCTCTCCTCTACAATTACAATTAAAAAAGGTTATCTGCAATTCTTTTATGCGTTCTTCTTCTATATTTACCTCTTTTCAAATTTGTCTTTAATCTGGAAAGATACACAAAAAAAAAAATACAGCTCCTTCAATCATGTTTGCAGCATATTCACTGTACAATCATTAATATCACTAATCCTCTGAGGAGTTCCAGACTAGAAAATTAGGAAATAAGCTGGTCCAAAGCTTTGTCCCTGTCATTATCAAACTTTAGAAGAGCATCTGACGCAAGCTGTTCTGGGAAACCTAAGTCCAAGAGTTGGACCATTGCCTCAAGATACTTCACAGCATGAGTGACATTGTATTTGTTCACAATAAGGGCCTTCTCCACTTGGTCACCTGGATAATTCTTCTCTTCCAAGCACTGAACTTGCAGCAAAAACTCAACTACCTGCACAGGAGAAAGAAGAGATGTAGTAAGGCTGATATGGATTTGCAGACTGTTCAAATCTTGAACTGTTCATACACTTTTACATGAATTCTGTTATGTTAAGTTAAAAATGTCTTTTGTTTCTTATTACACTTGGAATACTTGGCTCTGGCATATTAGTCTACTTTCCTTTCATAGGGCAAAAAAGTTGGCTTGTTGTTCAATTCCTATTACTGTAATTTTTTGTAGAATACAGAACAATAATATGATGGCTAAACAAAAAATTTCATGAAGCTTTTAGTTTGAGAGCAGCAACCAGCAGGCCATTGTTACTGGATCTAGGATATGTTATATGAAGACAGATCATAAACAATTATTAAAAATTATGTATGAAATGAAGAGTTCTGTCTTCTGGATATAATGCCATGTTTTCTGTTGAAAGTCAACTAACATTTTGGTGGAACATGTCACTTCCATCTTCAGGGCTGAACAGCACAAAGCAGGCAGTCAGCTTACACTTCAGTGCTGAAGAGGGATGTAACATGTTCCTCTGAAACATCAGTTGACTTTCAATGGATTACACAGTGTTATACGCCAGAAGACAGTACTTTTCATAACCACTGCTGGGAGAACCTCATATTCTACAAATGTATGAAATGTTTCTTTCATAACTCAACAATTATATATGTGGTGACAGCATAAAACTTTGAGCTTATATATGACAAAATTAACATACACAGAACCTGTACTTAAGTAATAAATTCTTTCCAGAAACAAAATAACAGTAGTAGCAATGTGCAACATATTTACAATTGCAAACAATCTGTCCAATAGGAAACAGCTGACAAGAAACTGAAAAGGAATAAATGTGTGAAGAAAGAAGAGATTAAGAGATTTTTCTTCCACTGCCCCGTAAAAAACAGAACCAAAGGTAGGATGATGGTGAACAGAGAAAGGAAAAAAGAAAGAGAAGGAGAAGGCAGAGAAGATAAACAGGCTTCATGAGTTATGCTTGGAACTCCTTGTATTCAATGTAAACTGATATTTAAATACCTACATGAGTGGTTAATATAAAACAACAGTTACATGCCAAGGAAAAACTGCATACAGATATAAACCACCCAGACTTATGGCTTCCTGGCCAACGGCATGAATCTTTAACGAGTGTACATATGAAAAGCACTGTTGTCTGGGTTGTAATGCTGTGCAGTTTTGTGACAGCCCTACATTTTGGAGGAACACACTGCCTCCAAATTCTGGGTCAAAGAGCAAGCCGGTCAAGGGTTTGAATTTCTCACAGCAATGGCCTAAGTAATGCCTTCCGGGTTTAAAATTCTATAGTTTGGTGACAGCCTGATGTTTTGAAGGAACAGATTGTCTCCAAAACACAGGGCTCTCCAACCCACTTAGCATTACAACCCAGAATGCCACATTCTTCATAGTCACTGATATGAGAATCTTAAATCCAACTGCAGCTAAAATCTATAGAAAAGAGTTAAGAATTCAGGTAAGGTGGAACTGTCCCTGTGCTTAACAGGAAGATGGAAGTACGAAGTGGTAAAATCTCATGTTTCTTATATGAAAAATCTTACAACCTCAAATATCACATTATATAACCTGACAATGATAATTTACTATCAAAATATGTATCTGGTATAAGTATTGAACATCTTAACTTATACAGTTATGTTACTAGAACAACATCAGTAACTTAAAATTTTCAAGCATTCTGACTATAATTACTTTCAGTGACTCACTATCACTGTCAAAGCGGCCTCCGTAGTCTAGAGGTAACGTTCCCACCTCATGACTCGTAGTACGCGGGTTCAAAAACCTGGCAGAGGTCGTGGAATTTTTAAGGGCGGAAAAATTCAGGGAACAAGTCCTCCGGGAGGGACTTTAAGCCGTGGGTCCCGTGTCGTAGATTTACGGCACGTAAAAGAACCTCATGTCTCTAGGAGACCTCTGAGCAAAATTAGGCAACATTTCCCGCCCAAGTAGTTTCCAATTCCTCCGGTAGATGGGGAAGTATTAGGTATCACTGCCAGAGGAGGGGGGGACCTCTCTGACAGAAAGGGACTAACTATTAGATACCACTGCCAGAGGAGGTTGGAACCTCGCTGGCAGAAAGGGGCTGATAGTAAGCACCAGTACCGGTAGGGTATGGAGACAGTAGAAATTAAAGGGGGACGTACAATGGACCACTAACCGGTCTAAGTGCATGGGGAAAACCCACCCCCTCAACACAGAATACGGAATCACTGTCAAAGTTATCTTTTAATCAGCTCAGAATTACCACATGCAATTAAATCCTTAATTCTTCGTCCCATACAAAGAAAGTCTTTTCTATGCTTTGATTTTTGTCTAGTTACTTATGTTTTTATATTTCTGCACTTACATGACATCCAGAAGATAAATATTAAAAACTAAGATCAACATATCTAGGAGAGATCAATCCACAAAATAAAATTATATTCATAGCTCAAGAAGTTAAAATTATAGAAACTTGCAAGATTTCTGGTTCTCACTGCTAGCACTATAAAGATTACATCTTCTGGCAGATCATTATCAGTATTTTGGATAACCCTGCTGCCTCTGAAATGCTGGTAACATCACATCCCAGAAAAGTATAATCTTTAAGGAAATCTGACATGCATAACTGGTTAACAGTGTTTATGATGGATTGGCAGCAGACATTTGCATAGGATATAAAAATGTGAAGTCAGTGCTTAATATGTCCTCACATTATACACAGCTTATTTTATTGTTTTGATTACAGTAAGTTTACTGGAAACATCCCCTGTGTGGACTCACTTTCTTGTCATCCTCTCCTAGTAACTGACATGCCCGTGCTACACGAGGCAGAGGAAATCCCATCTCACTGATGTGTTTCACTAGCTTTTGGGCTGCTGGCTTCAGATCTCGGAATGGATTTGGCAGAGTCGGTTCTACTTCTGGTTTACTGGCTGAGTGACTTGCAATGGATGGTAGCTTTTTTGTTTCAGCCTGTGACCGTTCAGGACTGTCCAAGTCAGGCCATGGCTTCCAATTCTATATAATAGACACATAGTTATCAACCTCACTTCTAGTACTATTATCCATATATAATTATTAACACCAATAAATCCATTTACAAAATGTGTTTCTGTTTCTGCATGCTCGTAATAACTCACTTGCAGTACTGAGGCTCAGGCAATAGAATAACATTAATATGGAGCTTAACCAATCAGCGTAGTATCGTTTAAAACCCTAGTGACTGCTGTGCTCTGGGAGGATTTTCTGCTTTATGGTGCTAAATTGTTTCAGAAGGGTATTACTTCCCCAGTAATCATAGGATTTTAATGAAACATCCAGTGAATATTCATTATATACTGAAGGTTTTGTAAATGAAATAAATTTTACCTTAATAGTTGAGCTTTGTGTAGTAGGTCTTGAAGCAGCCTTCAACACACAGACTGGCCTCACAATCAGGCCACCAGAACACTGTCTCCTACCTCTTTTTGTCCTTGCAATAAACAACACATCCCTTTGTTGGCCTTGACTTCCTTTCAGTTGCAGGAATCCTCTCTGCCAAATGTCTTTCAAGGAGTCTAGGCCCTGTATTGTCTGTGGAATGTCACCTTGGAAGTTCTCATTCAACACCACCTTTATGTTGTACAAGAAGAGCCTAAACCATGCCAATTCTGAACTTCAAGTGATCAATTCATATCTTGTAAATCTGCTCTGCAGATAACTGTGGGGTTGAGAATTGTGGCATTGAGTAATCTTCTGAACATTTTAATGTACCAATTAGTCATTTTTTTTCTTTCTAGAAGGTAAGCATGTAGTTCAGAACTGAAACAGATGTTTCCTTTTCTTCCATTTCTTCACATAATCACCATGATATGTTAAGATCATGATAGCATTTTTTCTTTTGTCAGACCATTTCAGCAGAGGCAGTGGGCCAGAATTTTCCCTTTCCTCAGTTTCTACTCTCTCACTATTTTTCGTACGCATTTCCAATTCAGGTGCAGAGTTCCAACACAATCAATTTTCATAAATTTTGTTTTATAGCCTGTGCTTGTGCATTGTATAAGTTGTCCATCCACAATGTATGCCCTTTATCACGCACTGGTTCCACGGTAGAAACAAAAATAGCTTCCATTTCACTTTTTTCTTCTGATATAAGTGTTGAATGAAATCTGGTGTCCCTTTCAGTATAAATAACAAAAGATCATAAATAGCCTTAGTCAGATTCACAAAGCTTGTAAGACTTAATTCCAAATTTTGATGACTTCAATAAAATGTAGAAAATCTCCCTTTCCACAGTGAATAAAATTCATCTATTGTAATATTCTGGACTGGTATGTACAAAGTTTGAAATTTCCTTTTCAGATATATCACTGGGTATATTTTGAAAAGTTCTGGAGGGCTCAGGTATGTATATTTGCTGTCAATGCTACTGAAGTTGATTCAAATCGGTCCATTGATATTACACAGTCAAATAAAGGAATTGACAAAATATAATTTTTGAAAAGTATGATTGTAATGTGGGCTTCTGAACTATGCCCACGGCCATGAAAAGTGCCAGAACAACATACACCTCATCTTCACTGACAGGTTCCCAGTCTTTCATCCTAAATCATAATGCTAACATAATTCCCCTGGATTTTAACACTGTTTCTCATAAATATTTGTCTCACAGATGGTTATTTCTATTAGTTCCTGTGTGAAAAGCAGCTTGAATGCATCTGCACCTTCAGTAATATTTTTTGCTTCATTTTGTGGGCCAGACTTTCCTATAAATAATTCCTTTCTTCCTACATACTTAGCCATGTTCTACGTAAATGCCATAACACTAGCCCCATCCTGCAAAGCACTTCTTGAATCTTATGCACTGTCACTGTTTTCCTTCACACTTCCTTCCATTGCAATGGCTCCATGAATGGGCAAACCTTCAATTAGACTAGAATCGTCATCTAGCCTGGAGAACGGAGTTCTGTTTCTGGACTCAAACCCATAACATTTTGTACCATTGAAGTTCTGTGGTTATGACATTTAAGAGTATGATTAATTTGGGGCCAGTTGTTTATAAATGTTCTGAATGAAAAGACACAGAAACAGGAATTTGGACATACAATGATGCAAGTTACAAACTGCAAAATGAACATAAGATTATTGTACCCACTTAATTAGTTAAGCATTATGCCATGAAGACATATGGGGGAAAGGAGGAATGGCTAGCTTCACGCCCATTCGTCTTTGTCCCTCCCCAGCAGGAAAAGGGCCCTGCATCCACTGGATAGGAGACTAGGCCAGCCCCAGAGTCAATCTGGGCACAGTGGAGAAGATAAAAATCTTGCACTGCCATGAATTGAACCTGGGTCGTCCAGCCCACAGCATACTGCTATAACGACTGAGCTATCCCGACTCCCAGAGATGACTGTAAAGACAACAAATTAATTTTTAAATTGGAAACATGTATACTTACACTTCTTTTAGAATACTCACCTCCAATCCTGTAGATCCAAAGCTGTTGGGTCTCGGAGGTGGTGTGTGGCTTGATCGTCCCACAAGTGAAACACTTTCTTCTACATGTTTGTTTTTCAATTCTTTCTCCAATTCTTGGACTATGTCTGGGACACTCTTGGACAAGGATCGCCCCGGGGAATGTTGATCCTGATTGGAGTTACTTGTGGACGGAAAGGACGCACCATAAGTCAGAGGCGGATGATGAATTGTTGAAGTGAGGGTCGAATAGCCACGTCTTTCTACAACATCTCTGTTCTCAACTGCCCCTGAGCAAGCCAAAAATGGTTGCAGAACTACTGCTGAATTTTTTGAAGTTACAGTATGGTTGGTTTGTTTCGCTGGATCCAAAGAATAGCTGACATCTGCATGACCAGTGTTCATACTGGCTGCCCATGTCTGTCCAGGATAATGACAATATGAATTTTCAGATTTCAATGCCATTTCAGCTATGGAATAATCACATGGATGAGAAACCAAGGTGGCATAACCATCATTTCTGTTAACGTGTTGTTTTAGCCGAGGACTGGTGCCATAAAGACCATATCCAGTCAAACCATTTATATGAGTATGTGTTGTTAGCCCTTTCTTTAAATTTGAATCAAATGCATTGCAGAGTGCCACCTGATCCACACTGTAAACTGATGCTTGGGAAGAGTAACTGCTGTTCAGTGCTGCTTCCAAGTCAGGTGGTTTCTGCTTGATTTGACAGGGAGAATTTGACAAAGGCTGAAGAACATGAGCTAATTCTTCCATTTCATTTATTGTCTTAAGTTCCATGTTATCAAATGGACTTGAGGTGTCAGCTTCAAAATCAGATAAGTTAAAACTGTCTGAAGCTTTGCTAGTGCAAGTACCGATGGAGGCCAGAGTAATGGGAACAGGTGTTAACATGGAATACTGAGGAGTCGATGCAGAACTGAGGCTAGAATATGAAATACTCTGAAGAACAGGAGCTAGTGTAGTACGGGACACTGCGTTAGTGAAGGAAGGTGGGGGCTCAGGATATGAACCACTTGATGCTGTGGAGTTGACATAGGAACCATCGGACAACCCCACAGTGGAAAAGGAAGAAGCCGCTGGACTCACGCTGGAGCCTGTAGTGACTACTCTTGTTTCATGAGATTTTGATGTGGCTCTCTTCTGAGTCATGATTCTCTCCCTCCTATTTTCAACAGCTGCTTTTCGTAATTTTCGCCATTCCCCCATCTTCTGCAGTACACTCTTCTCGAGCTTGAAGTCATACTACAATATGACAAATGAAAACACCCAAGTAGATCAAACCACAATTCTGCACACAAACAAATAAATAATCAACTGCTTGACTGAGTAACCAACATACTATTCCCTTATGGTCCTGAAAATGTAGTCTAGGTTTGTGAGTTCTTAAGGAGCTAAAAATTAAACCTACCAATATCTCACTACATTCTGCAAATCACTTGAGGATGCCTCTTTTTTATTGCTAGTGGTGTGGGACTAAGTCCCTTGTACTGCGGCCACTTCTGGCCTATTGTACCAGCCCCAGATGATAGGTGAGGGTGACTGTGGAGCAATTGGTGGAATGAAGATTGGCAGGGGAAACCGAAGTACTCAGAGAAAACCTGCCCCAGAGCCACTTTGTCTACCACAAATCCCACTTGATCAGGCCCGGGATCGAACCCGGGCTGCCATGGTGGGAAGCCAGCGACTAACCGCTTGAGTTATGGTGCGGCCTTGAGGATGCCTAAGTATGATCTCGCTGTTCATTCACATTTGTATGAATGCAACAATCCAAGTGACATTTTTAGGTTATTTAACATTCCTCTGTCATTGCCATCAGATGTCTGGGAGACTGCGACTGATGAACTGGAAAGGATGTGGAAGCAGTCACAACTGTTTTAAGGTACTATCCCATCACTTACTCGAAGGAACTGAGGAAAACTGAGGAACCAAAACCTTGGTTACGACAGCCAGTCTGGGCTAAGGGCCCCCATACACACACAGTTTGGCCTTCCGTTCGGCCTGCACATTTGAACACTGAAAGGCAAAACTGATGTGTGTGGTGTGGCCGGCCGGCCAATCGTTTGGACTGTTGGCCTGTAGGAAATCCATCAGTCCTACCTGCAGGACCGTAGCACGTGACATGTGTGATTCAGCAATATAGGCTGGAAGACCGTGACCGTGGCATGAAGCCTGCCGCTTTATCTGCGCGTGTATGGGGAAGGAATGGGAGAGGGCAAACTGTGAAAGTTTTGCCTGTAAGGTCGATCGGAAGGCCAAAATGTGTGTGTATGGGGGGCCTAATATTCAGAACAAGGGCCTCACAAATACAACAGAAGAGTGCAAACCATTTGAACGAAATATTCAGTATAGGGAAGAGCATGAAGAGGATTGGAAATACCTTACCTCTTCCGTGACAGTTTCACTGGACAACCTATGTTGGTAGGTAACTGGTAAAGTAACCTTCCTTGGTGGTTTATATTGTTCACTGATCTTGACAGGAACATTATCCATGTATGAAAAAGCTGTAAAAGAATATATATAGTTTCATTGCTTATCGTAGTCTGATACATCATGCACAAACTTAAAGTCAAGTATTATTCTTTATCTGGTAATGCTAAATAAATTTCCTGTAGTACAAACAGGCTACAAAGTGATTATCTATAGACTCCAGTAAGCAGGATCCTTGTTATACATCCACAAATGTCATGAGGACTAAATCATTTTTTTTAATTCTTGAGCTCAATTAATTAAGCATCATTCCATGAAGAAGTTGTCAGGGGGTAGAGGTACAGCTCCACTATTCTTGACTTCAGCATCAGACGGAGTGCTCAGCTTCACCCCCCCTCAGAGCAGGTCTGAACACTGTTGAGAAAATAAACACCTTGCCCTCCTATAAGAATTGAACTCCAGCCGTACAGCCCGATGCTATACTGAGTTATCCTGGCTGTCTAAATAACTGCAGCAATGAATACTAAGACATATAAAGACTTAATTAATAAACTTGAAATTATGACCCAAATGTAATCTCACCTTGTCTCTCTGATTCACGTCCATATCGGGACATACTGATGTTTCACAGCTGCCCTTGCAATCACCTGCAACTGAAATTCATTGCATATATCCACCACTATTCTGAATGGCATTTGTGACACAATGTGAACTTAAGAGCACCATTTTCTGGGATGTGACATCATAGAGTCAAGTAGAAGTTCATCAACTTTTTGGAGGAACATACTGCCTCCATCTTAAGGGTTTATGAGTAAGAAAACAAGCTGGTTACTTCCTGGAGCTAGGACAGTTTTCTCCGAGTACTTCAGTTTCCCCTGTCAATCTTCATTCCACCAACTGCTCCATAATCACCCTCACCTATCATCTGGGGCTGGTACAATAGGCCAGAAGTGGCTGCAGTACAAGGGACTTAGTACCACCCCACAAGCAATAAAAAAAACTTAACAATTAAACGCTATTTATATTCAAACTAGATACATATAAAATCATTAAAATGACAGGTGTTGGTCAAAAAATTTGAGGCCTGAACAGACATGGATCCCAGATAATCTTCTGAAACAAGTATTGTTAATTTAAAAATTTTGGATTTTTAAGTACATTTAAACAAAAGAACAGCAAAAATAATTACTCAGTTTATCATCTACCATTCAGGTAAAGTACATGTAAAATAACTAAAATTCAAAATTGGCAACATTTTTAAAATATATATCTTAGCTATATCATAAGTTGTTACCATTTTATTTGTCAGAACTAAATTCTTACTTATTCTGGTGACTGGATCTTCTGCAATTAATATAATTTCAGTCTTGAGCCAGAGGTCTTTTTTTTGCTGATTATTTAATGATGTTTTCAGCATCAGATGGTAGGATGACAGATGAATGGGAAAGGGTTTGGTGAAGGAAGTGGTCACGGCCTAATCAAGATACTATCCTGGCATGTGCCTGGGCAGCCTAAGGAAAAAACGTTTAAAACTCACTCAGGATAATTGTGTCCCAACCACACTTCAAACCAAGCATTTCCTAAATACAATTCTAGAGTGTTACCCTTAGAAAAGTCATATGGGTGACGACATAAATTAGATAGATTAGGTGATTTGATGATTTCATATTAACAGTGACTGCTCAAAGTACCTATAAAGTGTCCCTATGCTAGGAAGTCGCACAGAAACATTTAAAAAACAAATGCTTTAATACTTGACATAATATTCCCAATGGCCCCATTAGAAGCTAACTTGTTCATTCATTCATTCATTCATTCATTCATTCATTCATTTCCTTTATTTTCCATATATCCATACAGGTAAAAAACCTAGGATGTGGAAATAGTCTAACTAAACTAGTCACCAAATTTAGATATGTTCATGAAATATGATAGTATGTCCAGAAACAGGAGAAAGTAACTGAAGATATATCTCTAAACATATTGCAACTACACTGAAACATACCAAATGCTGTGGGCTTGAAGACAATGTCCCTCTTTTGTATTCAATAGGTCCTGGGTAGAAATCTTGACCTAGAGACCAGCTATCCTCAGTTTTCATAGTCGTCCTATGTGTCTCTAGGCAAATGTCAAGACAGTACATCAAATTAGGTCATGACTGCTTAATAACACATCATTTTCAAATTATTATTCATTAATCATCCTACCATTTGACACTGTGACATCTGAGTCACTGACAGCATTGATAAATGAACTGCAAATACATAAATACATCAAAACATTATGTGAGCAAAAGATGTATGAGACTGGTTTCTGTATTCTAAACAAATAAGAACAGCAACTTCTTAAAATTCTTCCTGATGACATTTTAGGATTCTTCTACCTATTGATATCTTCAGCTCATAGGCAAGAAAAGAGAGGGGTCTCATATATTTCACCTTCATTACGTAATACAATCACTTTACACAACAAATTTAGGAATAACTGTTAAACAATGGATTATTTTTCTTTTATTGCTAGTGGGATGGGACTAAGTCCCTTGTATTGCGGCCACTTCTGGCCTACTGTACCAGCCCCAGAAGATAGGTGAGGGTGATTGTGGAGCAATTGGTGGAATGAAGATTGGCAGGGAAAACCAAAGTACTCGGAGAAAACCTGCCCCAGTGCCAATTTGTCCGCCACAAATCCCACTTGACCAGACCCGGGATCGAACCCGGGCCGCCGCGGTGGGAAGCCAGCAACTAACCGCTTGAGCTATGGTGCGGCCTCAAACAATGGATTAAGATGAATGTCACTTTATATAACCATTGCACAAGCTTCATTCTATAACTGTGGTCGATTTCATGGCGCGTTTCAGTCTATTTCAACCACCAGCAAATGGAGATTACTGCAGAAAACTTTAAAACATATACAAGTATAATCTTAAGCTCCTCCATGGTTGAGATGGAATAGCTCAGTTGGTTTAGCGATGGGGTATGTGCTGGACAGCCAGGGTTTGATTCCCAGAAGAGGCAAGAGATTTCTCTCTACTCTACAGCATCCAGACTATGGTTCTGGACCCACATACCCTCCATTCCAATGGGTAGGGCTATTTCCCTGGAGTAAAGAGGCCAAGGTGTGAAGCTGACCACTCACCTCTATTCAGCACCAAGGTCAAAATGGTGGAGCTATACTTCTGCTTCCCACATGTCTTCATGGTGTGGTACTTAATTAATTAAGAACAGGGACAAATTACCTTCTACCTCTCATCCTCTATGGTTTTGATTTGTATCACATGTAAAACTGCACATCAAAAGACAAAAGATCAAAGAAACTGGATTGACAAACTGAATAAATCTTTCCTTTGCTAACACTACAAACAAGTATGAATTACTAGCAATCTCACCTAACAGGGTCTGATAGAGTGAACTTTAAAGAAAATAAATATGGCTGTTACACTGAATTTCATTATAAATTAACAAGAAGTTCTTGGAAGAACTAATAACCTAATTTCCTTTCAGTACATATTGAGCATTTGATATGACATGGACCACACTGAAAACACAATGTCCAAAAGCTCTACTATTGTTGTGTGTCTACTCATTGCCACAGGAACGTGTTTACTAAGCCACTGCCTAGCAAGAGCCCAAGAACATGTTCAAAGAGCTATTGTTTAAAAATGATAATAGTGGTGGAATACACAAACACACAGGCTACAAGGTGACCTTGAAGTTTCAGTTTACTTTTTCAAAACAAGGAGAGCTGGATAAAAATAGTGCGACAACCACAAAATATATTTTGAAGATCGTCTTTTGGGATGTGACACTGTGTAGTCTGGTGGACAGCATTACTGACGATTTATATGTGTTGCTCCCTCCATCCTCAGGACAGAAGTTGGAGGTAGCACAATCATCTGAAATTCTGATAAACATCTACCAGATGACATGGTGTCACATCATAGAAAAGAGTAAGCTTCATAATCAGCGCAACGAGAATCTCAAATCAAACCTATGCGGATTTTATTTCAAATTTCTTTAACACAATTTAATGACTGCAGCAAAACGCATGAAATACGGAGTAACAACAAATTATACAAGGTAATTTGTAAGTCCCTCTGGGATCTTTGAACTCACCAGCGCAACAATCAAGATAGACAAAGCAGAAAGGAGCACATCAGTAGGTAGAGAATCTCTCCTAGTTTTTTCAGGTAATAGGTACTATGGCATATTTGCAGGTTTCACCACCAGATGGCAGTTGTAACAAAGCATTCTGTGTCTTGGAATTTGACACAACTGAGTCAATTGTGACCATTATGATGGAGGAATGGAGGTTTCAGACCAAGTACCACATAGAACTACCTATGGACAAAACAATTTGTGAGTGGTACAAGGAATTCCAGCAGATGGCTCCTGATGAAAGTTTGACAGCCTCAGCCGATGGCCACAGTCGGCCTGTTCGTTTCACAGCACGCAGGCAGCTACTCTACTGGAATTTCTTGTACCACTCACAAATAGTTTTGTCTGTAGGTGGTTCTGTGCAGTACTTGGTCTGAAGCCTCTGTTGCACTTTCAAAATAGCCACAATTGACTCAGTTTTGGCAACTAAAGACACAGAACGCTTTTTTATCCCGTCCTTGCTGTGTTTTGTCACGAATGCCTCCTAGCAATGAAACCTACAAGTATGCCATGGAGGCTACTGCCCAAACAAACAAGGAGAGATTCTCTACCTATTGATATTATCCTTTCTGCTGTGTCTGTCTTGGTTGCTGCGCTGCTGATTTTGGAAGTTCGAGAGGGACTTATGAATTACCCTGTATTTAAAAATATCACCGTACTTTATACATCTGGCTACTTCTTTTATTAACCCACTATCGCTGCATATGGGTGATTCTTACACTGTTTAACATATCTGTTATCAACTGGAGAAATTATATGGAATCAAATGAGATATAACCAAGACTTACAAACAAGTCAGCAGGAAAACCCCCAAACTTCACAGTTGTTATATCTGCAAGCACTTTCTTTATATAGATTGTGCCAATAAAGACTTCTGTCTTCTGGGATATAACACCATGCAGTCCAGTGAAATCAACTGACATTTTGGAGAAGCATAGTGCCTCCATCCACAGGGTCACAGAGTAAGACAAGCAAGAAACCAGCATGAAGCAGGTTGCTGACCCCTTCTCTTGGCCAATTTCACTAAACTACATGATGTTATAACATAGAAAATAGCAGTCTCTATGGCCACCACTGAGAGAACCTCAAATCCAGCACAGGATTTATAGGTGTTTACAATCAATCTCCACACCAAATTTCACAAATCAGAACATATTACCAAACTGAATGCTTTTGAAAAATACTACATGACCACCATGTTGTTATATTACAGTCACATCCAACTTCAATTCTGAACACAGAGGCTGGGTGTTCCTTTAAAACATTTATGCCTGTCTACCAAAGTACATATTTTCGACATCCTGGGTCCAAATTCTTTCCTCAGGCAAAGTGGGTTAAAACACAAACAAGAACAAATAACTAAAAACAGCATCATGAAAGTTACATGGATATTACCCAGCTCTGCTGCCTCCATGTCAATGTTGAAACAAAATCACTATATTTAATTTGTCTGTGGATTTTTGCAATGGTCCTGTCACGAAGAAATCTCTAACCTACACAACTCTAATACATATACAAATTTATTCGTAAAAAATGTATTTATATGAAGCAAAATACAATCACTCCACAGCAAGATACTTTCAATTAACTATAATCATGAAGGATGAATATTCTGAAAATTTGCATTTCACTGAATAATGACATGACACAATGAAACGTATGCCTTGTAGTTCGATATTATTATAGCCATATGGAACTGACCTTCTTCCCATCTCAATTCACTGCTTACGACAGACTTTTTGCAGTACATAAAAACATTTCTTTCACACTAGCCGAGTTTATTTTCTAGATTTTGTCACGTTCATAGACTGAAGCTGCTACGCAAGATATGTGTTACTTTCCTAACCTCCGACATATTTCCAACGTTGACTCCTGATTCGTTAGTTGACCTACACTATTGCCATCTTCGGGAAATAAAGTAACCAGTCATTCAACATGTTAGTGAGTTCAGAACAGTTCAGGAACGTCAGAGTATGTGCGCGTGGTTGATAGAAGGTACAGAATTTTAAGATCTTTACTAGAGAAAAGAATCGATTTGACCTGAAAACCTTATGACTTATTTATAGAGGAGCCTGATAAGGAACGCCTGTTGCGGAGACAAAAGACCAGGAGTATTTCTGATAAACTAGAAATTTGTGGATTCTTTTATTGCTAGTGGGGTGGGACTAAGTCCCTTGTACTGCGGCCACTTGTGGCGTATTATTGTACCAGTTCCAGATGATAGGTGAGGGTGATTGTGGAGCAATTGGTGGAATGAAGATTGGCAGGGGAAACCGAAGTACTCGGAGAAAACCTGCCCTAGCGCCACTTTGTCCACCACAAATCTCACTTGACCAGACCAAGGATCAAACCTGGGCCGCTGCGGTGGAAAGCTAGCGACTAACCGCTATGGCGCGGCCAATGTTGTGGCTACATAGCGGATTTCAACAGAGCGCTTTGAAGGAAAACCCAAATTTCCTCTTCATTTATTTCGCCCTGAACATACAAGTAACAATTCCTACCCATTTTATCAACTCTGAATCATAAACCTAGCTACAATTAATTATACCCCGCATATATAACTGGCAGTGATATTTAGCGACTATTCCCAGGGTTCTCTTTGTTGGGCCTGGCAGATTGGGGATATGAAAACAAAATTGATATGGTGAAGTAGGCATACCTGTACTTATTATTACAACAGATTGCAATCTGAGGAATTATAACAAGAAATCCAAGTGTCTCATGTAAAAAGTAAATCTACATATGATTCACTTCCAAAATTGTTCAAAGGATTTGATGAAAAAGCTGTTACAACCATAGTCATTAGCAATAATCATCAGCTTGTCCCTTTGGGCCATATAATGACAACAATCCCACATGCGTCTCCAAAACAAAAGTGTGTAGAGTAACTTACTGTGTCCATGGTGTCAAGTCCTTCTTCAGAAGCCAACAGTTGCTAAGCTACTCGGAGAACATCCCAATATTTTATACAACCCGACATAACTGTGCTCACGAAATCCCTATCCACAGTCAGATTCAGACCTATCCTATCAGTTAGTCTTGGTGTCAGGCCCCTTGAGGCCCACGACCAGAGATTTTTTTCAAACTGACCTCTTGTGGTAATAGTCCTTATGTAACATCCTCTCTGATGAGATGATGGGTTTCTCTTTTATGAATACACTTGACCTTTCAAGTATATATTTCGCACATTTTACACATCTTATGCTACAACAAAAACTTAGTCATTTGAACGGCTGTAAGCTTGATTGCTGCCAAGTTTAAGCCTCTTATATTTTCTGTGTCTGGCTTCACCTTGTCCGATGTCGCGAACATTCTCATTTTCATGATTTTGTATGACTTCTGCTTGTTTCCTGCATAATTTTGTTATATAGTCATATATGGGGGGGATTTTGAATGCCATGTGCAAATTGCGGAACGATGTGCGCCTTGGAAAACTGCCAGTGATGCAGAGAACCTCATTTTGCAGGAGCTGCAATTTCACTAGATGGGTGTCTGCCGCAAATTCCCAGGCGGGACTAGCATAAGTCATTACGGATCTAATAAGAGCTTTGTGGAGGTCATTTTAATGTTAGTGCTTGCATTGTCATTGTAATGTCTGCTTGAATGTGGGAAGTTCCCACAAAACATTACCTAAATACAATCTGCTCTTAATTTTTTTTTTTGTGAATCAAATTTTGATTTGTTACAGTCATTCCCAAACATTTGCACTTTGCTACCTTTTCATATGATCTATTAGCCATCCTTATGTTACATTTTTGTCCCGCATTCTGGTGACGAGATATGAACATGCACTTAACATGTGTGTGGCATTAAGCTAGCACTTTCACTCTATTTCCCCAGGCAGTTCTCAGTTTGGCCTACTGTAAGGACTATACCAGCATTCATCTGGAGGGACTAAAGGAAACCATGACCAGTTTACTTTGGATAATACATTTACATTAAGAGACCATAGTCCTTATATCATAAAGGTCAAGCACTGAATCTAGATTCTCAAAGCAGTCACTATGAACGGTATTATCTTCCAGGTTATGACATTATTTAATTTCATAGACATTCACCAAGGTTTTGGAGGAACATACTGTCTCCATCATTTCCAAGCAGAGCACTACTTGCCATTCGCTTCTTCCTCTGAAATTGTTGGGAGCTTTTACTGGACTACATGTTATCACATACCAGAGGACAGTACACACCAGGGGTGTGGTGTTCATGTTAACTGTGTTGACAAGGTTAACACTTTGAAAACTGCAATGAAAATTTGCAGTGTGGTTCCATGATACTTCACATACTGGCAGGAGAAGCAACCACATCCTTCCACCCAATCATACCTTTATTTGCGATTTTCCTGCAGATTATGTTGGCTGTCTCTGCAAGAAAGCACAATTAGAAGACACAACATATGGACAGCCACAAAGGGAACGAGCATATGGCATTGGAAGCTACTGAAGGTTCCACGTCACAAACCAGAAAACACAAGATGTGCATTTCTACCTAAGAATATTATGATATTCTTCAAGATGTCGACTTTAGTTTTTATTTAAAGTATTTTCAGGGGTACTACAGCAAATCACAAAACTTTTCAAAATTATGGAAACCAAATTTAATGATGTCAGTTACTGATCCTTCCCCCCACCCAAAAGGAAGTTTCTCTTAGGGAGATACAGAACACTCACAATTTCCAGGTGTACCGCGGAATGACTGACATTACGGAACAGCTGACCAATCGATTCTCTGAAATTATTGAACTACAATTTTCAGCTGCTCCTTATGAGTTCTAATTGAAATGAGACAGGCGGTATTTTGACTCCCTTCATCAAAAAACTGAACTTCCCGTTACTTATCCTAATTAAAATTTTTATTAAGTAATATTTCAGACCTCAAATATTTCATCGCTTCACACCTGAGTATTGCATTGCCAAGTCATAAAATTATCTACCTTGTTATTAGTGATTCCACCAGCCAGGGTGTCTGTTGAGAGGATACTCTCTGCTCTGAAGAAGGTTCATTCTTAACGTGCACAGGACAGTGTCAGTGGAAAATGGGGGCCTTTCATGTAATATATTATTATTCTTGTATGAAGGTCTCAGGAAAGTACCAAGGTTTCTCTGTGCAAATGTATTTACCACCATCAGCCTTGGCATTTCTGGCACGTATTAATAGTTCTGTGACAATGACTGGCAGTCATAATGTTAAAGCCCTAAATTGGATACTGTTGCTTTGTAAATGCTTGAAGCACATTTCAAATCACAATCTCAGATTCATATTTCAATTAGAAATTACCAGGAGGCACATAATTACTCTTCCAAAAACGAAAACACTGTGGCCAAACTAATGGAAAGCAAGCTACTGGCAAACATGATGACAACCAATAATTTTGTACGTGAAATGTGTTATATAGGATCCCTGTATATACTGCTCAAAATGGACTGATTCACACTGACGACAAACTTCAGAAAACATGCTGACAATTAAAAAAGTACATAATCAGTCCACCTAAAATTCATCCAAACATGATCATATATGATTTTAAGCCCTCACAGTGATGATATACGATGAAGTCTTCTTAGGCAATCAGCCATATCACTGTGGAGTTGCTGTTGACTTTTCACAGATGCAAACACAGCACTTGGCACATCAACCGCTGATCATGTGAACAGAGACAGTCTTTGAAATGCTGGACACCAACTCCACACTAGCATGGCTAGCTGACTGCTCAAGAATAATTCAGTAAGTATGAATATATTTGTAGGATTTGAGGTTCTCACAGCAGTGGTTATGAAGAGCAGAGCTCTGCCTGCCACCTGCTTTCTTGCTCAGCTTCCTTCAAGATGGAGGAAACTTGTTCCTCCAAAATGTTGGTTGACTTTCAATGGACTACACAGTATTCTATCCCAGAAAGCTAGAACTTATGATAATCTTTATACTGTCTACTGGTTGACAATGACAATGTTTCTATTAAAGTTAAGCCCTTACTGTACAAGTAATGTTTGATGCTTTATGAAGGAAGCTCTGATCAAGTTTCTGACCAGAGATGGGAAGTCATTCCCAAGTTAAGTAATCTTGCTGTAGGTGAAGATAGCTGTTGCTATGTCACGTCCACCTTTATGTTTCATGACAGGTGAGTTAAGATTAAAGGCATGGGAATTAATTGACCCTTGCACAATGATCATTCACGATCCAGTGTGCATCCTATTTCTAAGCTTAGCCCCATAGTCGTCCTCCACTTCATATGAAGTGCAGTACTTTGCATTTGATAGTCACTTGGCTTCATAAAATAGAATCCTTAGTGACAAAACCTTAATCTAAAACCTCACAGGATGTGTGTGAGGCTTTCATGAGAGGTAAGAACTGTTGCACTTGAGATATCTGTTACTATACTGAGGTCATGGAAAGAAGTCCCATGGATAGTTTGGGCTACAGGTGCTTCAGACTTCCAATTTCCACCTACCACTGTATTCCCTTCTAGCCTATACCAATGAACCCATAGTTACTTTCTGAGCACTGAAGGATGAAGGTAATTTCCTTTGCTTAGCTACCAGTGGTGTGGGCTGCCTCTAATACAGTTCCCTCACTCGTCCCCACTATCCATCTTCAGGGCTCAGTTACATGCTAGCAAAGGTTATACCATCAACATTCATGTGAACTGAATGGCTGAACAAGTGGAGGCGAACAGAGGGGAAGTATGAAAGAGGACATGACAGCTCAGGGAGGTGGCTGATCCACAGGACTTCTTTTTGTGGCCTCAGTTAGGCAAACATTTTCACGTAAAAAAACAGGCAAGGAATTACATCCTTATGGATTGTATATCCAGCCACAATAAGTGAAGACTATTTGAATATATGGCAGTGACACTTATTATTGAGATCTGAATACATGCCAATATGAAGTACTGGTCTCGACTATATACACTCTTACAAATCTAAGATAACTAAAATGCTTTACCTTAATAACTGTGCTTCTTAATCCATGTATGTAGTAAGACAGGAATTGCTGTAAAATAAATGTAAATCCACTCACATATTCTAAAATAAACATTTTATAAAAATGATATAAAAATACAAATTTAATTTAAAACCTTCACAGATAAAAGGTGACTATGCACTGAAATTAAAATGCAAATAAAAGCTTACTGGAAGCGTAAGATTACTAACATCTGGTTTGTGCAACCTGATACCAACACTACAGCCCCAAAACGAAGTGTAATTCCGACTGACTACAACATACAAATATTAATTTCACTACAAATGAAGCTCAACAACATTTATGCCTGTAGTTGAAATCATTTATTTTTTTTGACATGTGGTAGAGTTAGTGCATCCTAGCATAATTCACATAAGACTACTATACTACACATATAAAATCTAAGACATTACTTCCTTTTCTTGAATCCTAAGCACTGTCTGCATGCACAATGTCAAATACAAAGAGTGGGAAGGTTGTCCATTACAAGCCAAGGGAGTGGAGACGTGGGGCATGAAATTAACATGAAGGGATGGCAGTGCAATGACATCTCCTCAACTATCCCCAAAAAGAAAGTTCTTCATTTCAAAATATTTTGTCTCAAAAAATGGACTGACATTTTGTACTAATTAGAAAAACATACAAACTTCTGCTATTATCTCAGATGTGTATCACAGTGAAGGTGCTCCTACCATATCTACAAATGCTGATCTGAAATTCTAGACTGTCAAAAATTCATTATTAGTTGGTCACATACTGTGTTACACCCCAGAGGTTATGCAGATAGCTTTGTCTGTTTCCAAAACCATCATCCATTTTTAACTGTTATTTGTACATAAAATAAAATGTAGCTTTCTGTGGGGATGATGGGGATTTCTTTTGTTTTAAAATGAGTGGTGCAGTCTCCTCTGCGCACAACACACACTATTTTATGGCCCCATTCATCCATCCCAGTTCATCATGACGAGCTGCTGTTGTCACCGTTATCGTGATAACTGTTTCCGTTCATCACAAATGACGTACCAAGCCCATACAGATGGCCACAGTACTTTGCATCATCGATGTTGTCTTCAAAGAACATCTGCATAAAGCACAAAAGGAAACAATTTAGCTGTTGATTTATTGATTAAATCATGACAGGTATGGAAGAGGAAGTGTATGGAAGGTAATGCCAGACATTTTGTTCACAAGAACTCATGCACTGAGGAGCTGACAAGGGGTACAAAAGCGTAATATCTTCATATGTTAAGTTACTCAACATTTAAAAAATGAATTCACGTGGAAATGTGCCAGATGATTAATTCATTAATTTGGTGACAGATCCCTCATGGAGGAGGAAAAGGTGAGGATAGGAAAACGGACGTCATTTCAGTCCATTTATGTTGCATTTCAATTAAATTTTGCAAAGAATACATATAAAATGTTAGAAATTTGTTTTTCACGTTCAAACTCAAATAACTCTCTTGGCTGAACGTAAGAAGGCGGGGGGCAGACCTCACGGTACAATAAACTAATACATAAAGAAAAAAAAAAAAAAGATTTGAGGACTTTCATCTTCTGGGATATAAGTGCCATGTAGTCTGTCGGAAATCAACCAAGATTTTTGAGGCTCATGTTATCATCATCTTCAGGACTGAAGAATAAACCAAGCATGAAATCAGAATGAAGCAGAGCTTGCTTACGCTTTGACCCTGAAGATGGAAGCGACATGCTCATCCAAAACACTGACTGATTTTTAATGGACTACACGGTGTTACACCCCAGTAGACAGAACTCTTCATAACCACTGCTGTAAGAACCTCAAATCATACATAAAATACTAATCTAATTAGGATTTATAGCTTATTGTTCTTTGATATGGAATAAACTGTAAAGAACAAGGCTGGAAGTTTACGTTCCCATTGAGGTACACCTTGAGGCTCCTACTGTATTCTTACCTCTCGCATTTTGAAGAAAGCCATTCCTGTGAGAAGGGAGTCACTGCCTGCCTGATGCTGTGGCCCAATCCTTTCCAACTCCAACTGATCAGCAACTTCTTGCAGCCCTCCCTTGAGGTTCTTGCAGCTTTTCATAAGGTACTGTGAAATAATAATCATAAAGTGCTAAGAAAATATCAAGATATGACATGAGTTACAATATCTATAGTGGTTATTTTGTTAGTAGGTTTCAATCCACAAGTACTGTCATAACTGTATTCAAATAAGTAATATCACAGGGTGTGTTGCACCTGCATTTATTACTTCAACATAGATGTTAAACATAATGAGTAACGGACAAACACTCCAATTCTCCACTGTGGAGCTCACGAAGGGTAAATGAAGGAAAGCAGATGGATGACAGAGACATCTATCCCAGTTATACACCACCTATTCACTTCATGTGAGAAGAAATCAGGGTCCTGTCTTTGCATCCACTAGCAAACCTTATTTTCCTTCAGATGCTGAAACTTTTTGTGAAGTTACACTATGCATTCAGTATTACCCTATGGTCCTGGAACTGATAGAGTATGTCCTGCAACTCAAATGCAATCACAAGCAGTGTCCCCACAAGCTGCTGGGTCTTTCCCCTCCACCATTCCATCCAAACCTTGCACTTAGAGAATTCCACTTCTACAGATTACTGATGAAGCACTTCGAAGGAAACACTTCTACTGTGATGATGAGATGGGTTGCTTTCCTGTCTTATGTCAGGTAAATATTTAACCGCATCAGTCGTGTGCTGTCTTGCCACATCAAATCTGTGGGCCTCCATCCACAGGAAAATATCTGGTTTCCTTTGGCCGATCAAAGATGACCTAGGACTGAAGATGTCAAGAGTATACGTCGTACAGCATCACCTGTGAGCGCAGTCAGGTCTACACTGGGCAGGTCGAAGGAACACCAGTGACATACCCATCTAGAACACATCTGGACAAGTGAGCTGTGGCAGGGCACAGTATGAATTTGGGGGCACTGCATCCAGCTACACCAAACCTAGATACATGAATCACATCATCAGGGAGGCTACTGAGATTGATCTCCATCCCAACAATATGAA